CTGCTCAATAAATCTGGGGAGCACGTTTGAGGACACGGCATCGTGTCTGGGGTGGGGCTGGTGTTGAGTCCCCATCGGCGTTGGGATTTGCTGGCTGAGAAAAGTGACAGGTGACAGTTGTCAACGTTTGCTGGCGAGAAGTCGGTGGCCCTGCCTCCCTGTGATCAAGCTTACTGAAGTGTCCTGAAACTGACGAGTGTGAACCCTCTCAGCCTTTGGTCGTTCGAGGTCACATCTAGGATATTTAAGCATCTTTCCACAGGCAATGATTGTTATCCTTCTGACATGATTCTTCGAGGATTGTTAACTACGTGTGGGTGCTGGGGGGGGGGTTGGTGGATAGAGATGTGAGTTTTCTTCTCCAGCTGGGATAGATTTAGGCTTTATTCCATTAAAACTGAGGGTCGCTGTAAGAACGTATCATTTCCCACATGAGCCTTTTATTTTAGCAAACAGATTCGGGAAGCGTCTTACAAAGCCAGTGACGGCCAGTGTCACGGCCGTCCCGTTGGACGGGAGGTACATCTCGTGCTCACGGTTCCTGTCTCTCTCTCTGCCTTGACAGTCTCTCATCACGTTTGTGAACAAGCACTTGAACAAGCTGAATTTGGAGGTGACGGAACTGGAGACCCAGGTGAGCAGTGTTTGGGTTGAAGCATGTGTCCCCGTTTTCGGCCAGTTTTCGGATCCCGGCTGGCCCATGTGAGCAAGGCCGGTGCCACCTTGTTCGTCTGCAAGGAATGCCCACCCCACAGCCGGAAGAGCTGGCCCCCGCCGCTCTGGCCTTCTCTCGGGGCCTCTGTCCTAATTTCCTGGGGCTACTGGAAGAAAGAGCCCCAGACTGAGTGGCTTCTACCTGAGACATTTACGTCCTCACGGTCCTGGAGGCTGGACGCCCCAGATCAACGTTGGGAGGGTTGCTTCCTCCTGAGGCTGTGAGGGGGGGCTCTGTGCCAGGCCTCTCCCCAGCTGCCCGGCGGGGCTGCTGGCGATTCTTGGCTTCCGTCGGGTGATAGATGCCTCACCCCGTCGGGTTATAGATCTCTGCCTTCATTGTCACATGGCATTCCCCCCGTGTGCGCGTCTGTGTGTCCAGATTTCCCCTTTTAGTAAGGACATGGGTTATGTTGGATTAGGGCCCGTTCTAGTGACCTCATCTTTAACTCAAGTTACTTTAGTAGTGACTATTTCCAAATAAGGTCATGTTCACGGGTTCTACGGGTTAGGACTCCCAGCACATCATTTAGGGACGCACAATTCAACCCGTAACACCCTCTGACTTGCCACCCCCCCCCCCCCCCCCCCCAGCCCCCCGCCGAAGGGCATTTGCACGTGCAGGTTTTTCAGTTTAGAACATTCCATCCCCCACCCCCCGCTTCTGTTCTCCATCACTATCCTTATTGAGCAAGTGCTCACTGAATACCTGTCCAGTGAGTGTGCACAAAATAGGGCTTCTGCAGGAAGTATATAAAATATACTCCCCCACCCCCTCGGAGCTAATCACATAGCGAAAATATGTTTCGAGGACTCAGTGGGCATTAAGCACAAAATATAATTTTCCCAGGATTAGCTGGGTGCTTGAATTTGTGGAGTCTTTATAAAGTTCTCGGTACAGAGTCCTCCCACCCACCGCTGATCCTCTTAAACCCCTGGGTGATTGCCTCCCTCCGTTCCTGTCTGTTTCTTTACCTTTTCTCATTTGCTTTCCTAATTAAAAAAGTAATTCAGGTTCATTGTGGAATGTCTGAAAACGCAGATAAGCAAAGCAAATAAAAATCACTCCTAATCCCGACTCCCGGAGATGGCTGTGCTGAGGGTTTCGTTCCAGACCTTTTCTCTGCACGGCTGGCTAATCGTGGACAGTGCGGGTCCGTATGGGAAAGCCAAACGGCCCGTTTCTAATGAGTGTGTTTATTTGCGCACTGTTTGCAGAGACATTCATTGTTGTTGCAGTTTACGGACATTGCACCCCTCGCCTCTCAGTATTTGCTGTTCGGTCCATCAGCAGTCCCGAAGTGTCCTAACACGTCATCCTTTGTCCCTCCCCGTCTGCCCCCTTCATCGTCTCCAGACCTCACTAACCACAGTTCACGGTTGATACGTATTCTTCCAGATGGCTCTTATGCATAAATGTATTTTTTTTTAACAACAACATATCATACTGTACAGCTCTCTTGTGATGTGGTTTTCGTTACTTAATTTATTGCCGGCATCTTTTGGTTGGAGCCTGTGTGTGTGTGTGTGTGTGTGTGTGTGTGTGTGGGTGTGTGAGCCTGCCTAATCGTCCTCCCGTTGCCTGGTCTGTCCACACGCGTCGCCTCTGGGGACTGCCTTCTGTTCCGTCCTGGGGCTGCAGCGTGCTTCACTGAGGCAGCTCCTTGTTGCCGCCTTGTGCTGGGCCGTGGGGAGCTGTCTGCACACAGCTCTTGGTCTCCTTCTCTGGGACGCGCTCCTGGAAATGGGGCCGTTGGAGCAAAGGCGGTGACGCTTTGAGGGCCCAGGAAGGTTTGCGCACCTGAACATCACGGGCCGTGCTAGCCATTCCCGGCTGTCACTTCCCTGATGGCCCACACACCAGTATCGGTCACCGGACGTCCGGACTGAGACAGTCTCTTCAATTTGCATTGATCTTTATTT